CTCGTGAGAACGGGTTTTTACCCAATTTTACTCCAACTTCAAACAACCATAACTTCTTCGTTTCAACTCCATTTCGGCGTTCTTTGTACGCACGGAAAGGTATTGAGGAGCCCCAAAACTCTACCTAATTACATTTGACTTAAAACACACCGAACTAAAATCCTTAATTCATGAAAGAAGTCTGAAACATCACTTTTCCCATTTTACCTTTTGACTCCAAGACATAAACCAAGGGCTTACATCACATAGCCAATATTATCAACATACAATAGGGTCTAAACCCTATTCCCCTTGAAGCCCAAGGCCTTTAATTGATCCATTTACTGTCTACAAATCTGAAATAAGAAACATCTCAAAAGAGGATGTTACAATGGTGGTAACCTTTGGTGGTGGTATGATTGGTGGAAAGTGATTATGGCGATTTGGGTAGAGGTGATGAAGGTGAACAGTAATGGGGATCGTGCTTCCTTCTTGATCTCCACGTCTCTTATTCTTCTTTTTTCTTGGTGTTTCTGGTTTCAATCAAAGAAACATATCAAGATGGATTGTCCTGAATCTGATTGCAGTAGGATGGTTTGGCAGGTGGATGATGTTGGTCTGAATAGATGGTTCCAATGTCAAGATGATGAAGGGTTGATGATGATCTCAGATGCTTGAGTAGAGGGATATGTAGATAATCAGGTTGTGGCTTATTAGTGGTTGGAATGGAGGTATAAGGGTGGTTTTGATGGTCATTAGGGAACTTGGTACATCGAATAAATAAACCTCCTCCTCCTTACCGGGGAGACAAATTTCTCTAGAAAATTAAATGACAACAAAATTCAATGCCACCATTAAAGAATCTAGAAATGTTAAGGTTTGTTGTGACATCAACTAAAACATATTATGATTCTATGTAAACCTCCCAACCAGTGACCCTCATCCTCCCCTCGGACAACCCACCAAGAAAATCCAGTTGCTTCACCAAGAAAATCCAGTTGTGGTAAATCTTGTACATTACATTGGTGATGTTGGAGGAGATTTATCGATCTGCTCGACTTTTGGAGCTATCTATCGTATATTGGTTCTCGAAAGTAGCTTCGGTAGTGGAAGCTCTGATCGTTGATGACATCCATGGTAGGGAAATTCAGTGTCGTGATTTCTTTTGATTTGGGGTTGTATCAGGGGAGTGGAAAGTGGGGTGAGGTGAAGGTAATTAATGGGTGTGTGTGTGTATATATATATATATATATATATATATATATATATATATATATATATATATATATATATATGATATTATGTTTATTTGTTAGGTCTAACTGTTGGCGCTCCAGCGAACCGGCGGGCCGACGAGCCAACGTTGCCTGACGGCTCCACCTGGCAGCCCTTCCTGACAGCTCAACCTAGCCCTTAGCTGGTTAGGCCTAAATTGGGATGGCCCATGTCCTGACCTAATTCCCTTTGACCTAATGGTCCCCTATAAATAAAATGTTTCCTCCTCCATGAGGAGACAACTTCTGATTAGCTTCTAGAGAGCTCTCATCCTAAAGCTCTCTCTTTTTCTCTCTCTCATACTGTAACGTCCCAAAAATAATACCCAAAATTTTCATTTTTGATTTAATAAAAACATGTATCCAAACATTGTCATACAACCCCAAAAGATCAAAGTATGCCACTACATCAAAACATATCAGAGTATATCTCAAAATGCAGAAAAAGGTGGTGTGTGCCCTGCAATCATCCCGGGCTCTTCCTTTTCGATCCGGAAGTACCTGAAACATAAACTGAAAACCATAAGCCCAAAGCTTAGTGAGTTCCCCAATATTCCACATACCATACACAGATAAACTCATACTCGGTCGTCACCCCGCATCGGGCGTCGCCCGACATCGAGTCCCACTCGGCCTCGGGCCCTGCTCGGATTACAAATCTGTCATTCATTAGGCCCCGCCTGACATCGGGCCCCGCCCGGTACACATAATAAACATATAATATTAATCATGCTAACACATGCGATAATCACAAACAATAACATATAATACGGTCATCGGGCCTCTCCCGGCATCGAGCCTCGCTCGGTATACATATCAACACATAACATATGCAAGAGTCATGCAAACATCTAGCATCCTATCATAAATAATCATGGGCCGACATTGGTGCCTTCGACCCGCTAAACACAGTGAGGAAACTCACCTCTGAATCTGAACAGTAGCTGAATAGGTACCGACTCCGAATATCAGCTCTACCCGTCACCTATTCATCAAATAGTGACCAATCCTTAGATACGACTCAACATACCTCAAATACCCCTAGGTCAAACTTGGTTAAAGTCAAAAGTTAAAAGTCAAAGTCAACAGTCCATGTTGACCCAACACGTTGTGTTGCCCCTTGGCCACGCCGTGTTCCGCCAGCATCCAAACAGTCGGGAAAAACCCCAGTCAACACGCCGTGTTGACTTGCAACAACGTCGTGGTTGCCTGAGTTTCAACAACTTAATACATTCAGCTGTTTTCTTCGACTCTAAGAGCTCCAAAGCTCAAATCTAGACCAAAACGCGATCTAGAAGTATAAAGTTTCCAACTTTATGATGGGTATTATGCAAAACATGTAATCTTATGTGTGCATGCAACTCTACAAATTTTGATCTATGTTTTCTCTAATTGAACATACAACTTGAGTAACAAAATAGAAAAACCCTAACATACTAGTATATAATCTAACACATAATTAGGGTTAGAAGATTCATACCTTAATTGTTATATAGTAATAACAATCCAAATCCTTGTGTTGTTGACGCCTTGAGAGCAAGCGTCACAAATGTCACGCCTCTAGTGGTTCACACCCAACATTAGCAATAGAAGATGATTGAGAAGGGGGAGAGAGGCTTCAAGTTTTCGGCTGGCTCTTCAAGAGAATGAGTGGCCGAAAATTGTAGGGTTCAGGTTGTTTATATAATGTAGTTAGGAAACCCTAGATAAACCCTAATCCAAGATAATCTTAAACCGGACAGTTATCTATTTTCCTGTTTATATACCAAAGACCATTCTACAAACCCTTAGGCCATAAGAAAACCGTCTAAGGCCTATGGAGGGTTCTAGATTGCCTCTTTGCTCGACTATTGAACAATTGCACTTCAGTCCCTGCAATTTTAATTAATTCCTTCCATCCCAAAATTAATTCTAATTAATATAATATTTCATAATATATTTATAAATCATTTATTTCAATTTATTAATCAAATAATAAATCAACCTCTTTCTCCAAAATCATCCTGTCTAGTTGCTAGTCTTGAGGGCAACCCAAAAGGATTGTGCTACTATCAATTTATATATATACCAATTATAGTTATAAGCTTAGACACCTAATCCAACACTTTATCCATTGTGACTATCCGAAAAGGCCCAAGACCCAATCCATAAAGCTTAATAATGCAAAGGCTTAACCAATAAGCACTTAATCCCTAAATTCCGAATTCCATCCTTTCCAGAAGTGATTCTAACACCAAAACCATCCCAAAGGTTGGTGCTTTATAGACATACATGTCCAATGCATGTCTTGAACCCATATTAGGGAAAAATGAGGATTTATGACCTAATCTCTATGCATGACATCAAAACTTGATTATAATCTAGATCCAAGATACTACTAACTCATCTTGACCTGGAGATTCATAAAGTTGCAAACTTTATGATATCTAACCATTACAATATTCAAGAACAAGAAACTAAAGGGACAAAACTCAAGATCTAACAACTTGGAATGATAAAAATCGAGTCTTCGACACTTACAAAGGCTAGAAGAGTGCCAAGGTGAAGAATGAGAACTTGCTTGCTTGATCTATGCTTCCTTCCTCCCTCTTCTTCCCTTCTTTAGCTTTTAAAAAGCACCAAACTAGCTAAAAAATAGAAGAAGATGATTAGGGTTTGCAAGGAACGGTTTAGGGGAATGGAGGCTGATGCGAGGGAGGCTATGAGGGGGTTAAGGATCCTTAAATATGGCTCAACCCTTAAACTTTAGGGTTTTCTCCATCATCCGCCACCACGCCGTGGTGAGGCTTCACCACATCGTGGCCAAAAAGGAATCATGCACAATTTGGAAAAAATTCATACCTGAAATCGAGTGTTACACATACTTCTCCCTCCTTGGGAGAACACATCCAGCATGCCCATACACTCATCTTACACATCAAAGTGGTTCTTTCCGGCCAGGAAAACCACCTCATCTCACACATCGATCTGACTTGATCGTCGGAGCCTGCTAGGAGGGTGTTTGGGATCGCTTTAAAAACAACTTTTGGACTTTTCACTTTTCCAAAAAATTAAAAAAGTTCAAAAGATTTTTCGAAAGTTGAAAAGTTTTTTTTTAAACAACTATTGGGCAAGGGAAAAAAGTTTGATTCTAAAAGTCACAAAATCGTGACTTTTGTGTCTCTTAAAAATAACTTTTGTCTTTTGTCCATCCAAACATATTTTAAATCATTGCTTTTGGAAAAAAAACATTTTACAAAAAGTTTTTTTATGAAAAAGATTTTAAAGCTAAAAAGGTTATCCCAAACACCCTAGGTAGTTCAAATACCATTTGTGCAAATTACAAGGACTGTTTGCATAAAAAAAATTAACAGGGACCGAAGCTGTGACTTTTAATAAAAGACAATTTATATAATTTTGTCTAAAATAAAAGGTTGTCACAGTAGTTGAATGATTTAATGAAATAAATTAATTGGCATTAAAACTTTACAAAATATTTATGACTTTATTTAGTTTCTATATTTAACCCTAAAGTAAATTACAGTAATATTGGCAAGAAGTAGGTAAATGGAACGGTACAATTTAGGTAAAAAAAGGAAACTGAAAATGAATGCGTTACTCAATTGCCGGCGCACGGCGACCCAACGGTCGGGAGAAGTGGTGTGGGGTCCGTCACACATGATAATTGCCCCCATCACACCAACATTGAGCTGTGATTCAACCGCTGTTTGGAGCCCACGATTTATATTCGTCCCACTCATCGAGACAGACTGTTTCAAACCCCTCTCAAACCCTTAAAAGACCCCCTTCCCTCTTCCACAACTCATTCTTCTCATCTGTCTTCGATTCCTTTCTTTCAAAAATCAAAGCTTTTTTCGATCCATCAATGGCAGAAGAAACCCTCAACACAGCCGCACAATCGGCAGCTCATGCTGAGGTTGCCGTTGTTTCCGATGTCCCAGAGGCCGAGAAGGTTGAAACCTGTGCAAAAGAAGCTGTCTTGCCGGAGCCGGTGAAAGATGCTGTCGTTGAAGATGAGAAGGAGAAGGTTGCTGCTTCGACTTCCTTCAAGGAGGAAAGTAACATTGTGGGTGAACTTCCTGATCCACAGAAGAAGGCTTTGGATGAACTGAAACATTTGGTTCAGGAAGCTCTTAACAAGCACGAGTTCACTGCTCCTCCACCACCTGTTAAGGAGGAGAAGCCGGTTGAGGAAAAGCCATCATCCGTCGTTGAAGAGGAAGCCAAGCCTTGTGAGGATCCAGCAGTTCCCACGACGGTGGCTGAACCTGTGGTTGAGTGCAAGGAAGAAGAGAAGGTTACACCACCGGCGGCAGAGCCATCGGAGCCTGTGAAGGAAGTGGCCGAGGTTATCGTGAAAACCGAATCCTGCATCGACGAAGACGGAGCAAAAAAGATCGAAGCGATTCAAGAAACGATCGTAGCAGTCACCATGCCTGCGGAGCCACCAAAGACAGAGGAAACTGAGCAACCACCGTGCGCGGCAGAGGAAATCCCAATCTCACCTGAAGAAGTCTCCATCTGGGGAATCCCATTACTCGCCGACGAACGTAGCGATGTTATTCTCCTGAAATTCCTCCGCGCAAGAGACTTTAAGGTCAAAGAAGCCTTCACCATGCTTAAAAGCGTGGTGGCATGGAGGAAAGAGTTCGGGATCGAATCACTACTCGATGAAGATCTGGGAACAGAGCAAGAGAAGGTGGTTTACATGCACGGCGTCGATAAAGACGGCCACCCAGTCTGCTACAACGCATACGGCGAGTATCAAAACAAGGAATTATACCAAGCAACCTTCTCCGACGAAGAGAAGCGCAAGAATTTCCTCCGATGGAGAATCCAGTTCCTGGAAAAGAGCATCAGAAAGCTCGATTTCAGCCCCGATGGGATCTCCACCATCGTACAAATCATCGATCTCAAATTTTCCCCCTCCCCCTTCAAGAAAGAACTCCGTCAAGTTCTTCAGTTGCTCCAGGACAATTACCCAGAATTCGTTGCCAAACAGGTACCTACCTCCATTAATAAATCTGTCAGTTCAATTTCTTAAATTGTCTGGGACATGATGACATGTTCTGATCTTTGTCTTTTGACCTGTAGTCAACGGTCGACCCCAACTACCACATGCGTTCGTTCTTAATCTTTTTCTGATCTGGTTTTTGTGTCTTTTTTTTCTGAAGGTGTTCATCAATGTTCCATGGTGGTACCTTGCTTTCTACAAGATGTTCAATCCATTCTTCACCCAGAGGACCAAAAGCAAGTTCGTTTTCGCTGGTCCTTCAAAAACTTCTGAAACCCTCTTCAAGTGAGTTTTCCACGAACCATACCTCCGATTCTTCCATGGATTTTTCATCTTTCTAACCTTCTTTGTTCTGCAATTTCAGATACATAGCACCGGAGCTTGTTCCAGTTCAATACGGTGGGCTTAGCAGGGACGGCGAACAAGAGTTCACCGCCGGCGACTCCATCACGGAGGAGATCATCAAGCCTTCTTGCGAACACACAATCGAGCTTCAAGCTCCTGAGGCATGCACGTTGATATGGGAGGCGAGAGTGGTGGGAGGTGAAGTTTCATATGGGGCAGAATTTGTACCGAGTGCAGAAGATGGATACACTGTTATTGTTCAGAAGGCGAGGAAGGTTACAGAGAGCAGTGATGGATCGGTGATTTGTGGGAAGTTTAAGTGTGGTGAAGCAGGGAAAGTGGTGCTTACATTCTTTAATCAGACCTCGAAGAAGAAGAAGGTGCTTTACAGGTTCAAGAGCGAGTAAAAAAGCTGCTTCGTATTTCATTCATACATTATATTCTTGGAATTTATTTATATTGATTTGGTGATTTGATTTGATTTGTTTTGTGGTTTTAGTATGTTCATTATATATTGGGATTTGGTGTATTGAAATTTACATATAGAAATGGATTGTGAGCAATTACAGTTTGGTTCGAAGTCTTTCATAATTTGATCCGTTTTGGGATTCTGGTTCGAACCATTGACACAGCTAAAAACAAAATGAGACAACGATTTACACCTTGACAAAATCCTTTTAGGATATGTTGTAATAAAAAACAGACATGAGTAAAGTTTGATTGGTATCAATTTCATTCTATTTCTCTACATATAATTACACTATTGTATAACACCACAAACAATGGAATCGAAACCACTAACAACACTATTCATATGCTACTCTAATACTATAACAATAAGTCTCCACTCTTTATATGAGGTTCTCTTAAGAGTGAACTTCTCCAAACATAATCCCACGCTATCTTTTCATTTTATTTTTCGGCTTCATTTCTTGATCTCCTCCCTTTTAACTCCTTTTTCCATTGACCACTTTTTTATGTATGCCATAAACTCAATTCAATAGTCCTATATTGTATCTCTTTTAGATGTCATGCATAGTGAAAAAAGTGCATAACAATGAGTCAGCTAGGTTGAATTATGGATGAGTATCTAGTAAGGCCTATGTTGTTATATTAGAGAACTTTTTTTAACAAGAATATATATATATATATATATATATATATATATATATATATATATATATATATATATATATATATATATATATATATATATATATATATATATATGGAAAAGTTCAATAGAGAACCATTATTAATCAAAAAACCAACGAACCAATATAAATCGTCGGAATTTAAAGCGATCAACGACAAAAGGAAGAGTTGTAAAAATTTATAATGGACGCACATGTATCGGATTATAACAAAACTCACTTCCTTTTTTCATTTAAAATTTTTTTTAAGCCAAATTTTTTATCGAAAAAAAAAACCGAATATACCGTAGTTCGATTTTTCGTCATCTTTCCATAGAGATCCATGATAATATATAAAAAACAAACTTTTTTTTTCGAAAAAAACTCACTTAATTTTCTTAGTTTTTCAATATTTAAGTTTATTTTTATAAAAAAAAACTAATTATACCAAAAATATTAATTTTTTGTACTCTATTAATAAACATAACCACCGATTAAAAAAAAAAAATAACCTTGAACAGTGTAGATTCACACTGTGAATCTAAACTGTAAATATTTCAATTTTTAACATTCACAATATGAAAAATCTCGAACAGTTCGGATTCACATTGTGAATCTGAATTACTATTATGCACACTGTGAATTTGAGAAGGTTCACAAAAAAAAAAACATCGATCAGTGTAGATTCACACTGTGAATCTAAACTGTAAATATTTCAAATTTTAACATTCACAATGTGAAAAAGCTCCGATCAGTTCAGATTCACACTGTGAATCTGATTTATTATTATGCACACTGTGAATCTGAGGAGGTTCACAATGTGAATCTGAACAGGTTTACAATATGAAATTGAACAAGTTCACAATGTGAATCTGAACTGAAATATCGTTTTTTTTAACATGAATATGAATCTATGTTTAAAAAGTACAAAAAATATGAATTTTGATATATTTATTAATTTTTTTCTATAAAAAAATAGACCTTAACTTTTTTCATTAAAGAAAATGAGGTGGGTTTTTTTCGAAAAAAAAAGTTCGTTTTTTATATAGCATCATGGATCTCTATGGAAAGAGGACGAAAAATCGTGAACAACGGTATATTCGTTTTTTTTTTGATAAAAAACATGACCTAAAAAAAATTTTAAACGAAAAAAAAGTGATGAGTTTTTTTTGTAAATGGTGAATTTTTTGGTATAATCCGGTATGTGTGCGTCCAATGTAAAAGTGTACATCTATTTCCTTGGCCGTTGATCGTTATGATTTCCGATGCTCACGATTGGTTCCTTGGTTAATTATGGTTCTCTATTGAACCTCACCCTATATATATATATATATATATATATATATATATATATATATATATATATATATATATATATATTTGTTACTTATTATGTAAATTTGGTGAAAGGTTAATTTTAAGAGGCAGATGGCCTAATGCAATGTGTACAATGAATTTATGCATTAAACGGTTATGAATCTTGGTCAACAATTAAAAAAGTCATGTGATAAGATAGTGGAGACTCATTCAATAGGGGAAGACTAATTCAAATAGCCATCACCCCCCTCGCCAATCCTGTCCAACAAGCTTCCCACTATGTCGCACTTTCTTCCGCCGTATAATATTATACCTTTGTTAATCTTTGCCATTTATATAACCCACGACCCACCTCCACTCTACTTCTCCATTTGAATATTGTTGCATCATATCTCTCTTTCATTCTACAAATGAAACGCCACCATCATCGACGAACGATCACCTACACCACCATCAACGGCTACTACGTCCACCACCATCTCGCTATCCTCGGCCAGCAACGAGCCAAAACACTCTCTTCTGTTCCTTCCTATCTATCTCTGTATCTCTCTTGAATACCACTGCACCACCTCGATTTAGGGTTTTAGTTTTTTGATTTGGTACCATCATCTAACTCCCTATTTAGTGGTGATGATTTGTCACAGTTACAAGGAGTGAAATCAGGGCAATTTCGATCAACCATACCTACATAAGTTTTCTCTATCATGGACTCATGGTTCAGCTTTCTCAATTTCTTACAAGTGAGTTTTAATATTTATAGATTTATATCTCCTCTCTTGCTCTTAATTTTGATTGCTTTTGTCAAATCTTGCTGTTATGACTTTCCCTCATCGTCTATCTCTCTATCTTTCATGATTTCATGATTTCACGATTTCAGGTCTCTCCTTTTTGTGATATTGATGATTCTAAGATTTACATAGGTTTTTGAAAATTCGAATGTGTTTTAGTTTTGTTTCCTTTAAAGAGGAATTCGTCTAACTGCCTAAATCGAAACAGGAAAGGGAGCATCAGTTGACAATGGAGGGCACAATGTTGGAAAAACCATAAAAAGCCAAACTTTGTGGTTGACACAACTATCCAATGGCAGAATCAGGTAGGTTAAAACAGAACCATGAGAAAAAAAAAACAAAAACCAAAAACCAAAATTAGTGTTTATATTGATCTATGGCCAATGATTTTGTTATCATTAGTTAACAGTCCTTGTGTTTATATTTGCAGTTAATTTACCATTTATTTGTCCCACAAACTCAAGGAGAGTATGTATCCTTGGTCCTATAAGAAAGTTATGTTGAGTTCCTGACTGTATTCAAGTTCACAATTTGTTCTTTTGATGAAAATGGTATTTTGTAAAATAGTTATTTGTTTTTACTACAGACACTTCCAAATATTGGGATGATAAATTGTCAAATCTATAAAAGACGAAAGAACTGCACCTGCAAACAGTTTGTTATGCTCAAATCCGGCAGATGTGTGTGTATGTGATTAACAGGTGGTAGGAGCTAGCTTACAATGTTCTAGAATAGTCAAATGCTGATTGGGATGGTTTGTTGTTTTGAGGGATGAAAGAATCTGTTACTTAGGGAAATATTTGTCAAGCAGGGCCGTGTATATGTGACTGTGTATGGCTATGTGAGTGTATCCCACTCTTGAATCATTCTTCTTATATCCTATGGCATATATGTATGCATTCAGGGTTGTGTCTTTCTGAATTCTATAATCAGCTAGCATGCTATTACTTCAGTTCTACTTCAAATGTTAACGTGAGATGTTTTCTAAAGCATATTCTCACCCCATTATTGTTTTTTTATCTAATTGCTGTCCGTTCTTTGTAGAATTGATGATTTCATTCAGGCCTGGTCCAAGCGTAGGGCGACTTGGCGACCTGGGCCACCGCCCAGGGCATCACTGTGAGGGGTGCATAAAAATTAGTCCATCTCTTATGGGCATATTAATTTTATGCACAATATTTGATCCAGTTTCAAGAAAGGCATGAGACATCGACGAATAGAAGGGGCAGAAGGTGGAAAAATGCAGCTCGACAAGCACACATAAAAATCAGAAAACAAGGAGTCAAACAGATGCAATAATCACGCCCAAAATCAAAAATCGATTGTCCTGAGTCTTGCAAGCAAAGGTAAAAAAATTATTGCTTTAAGAAGCTACATTTTTTGTTCTTTGCTTGCATTCCCAAACTCTTAAATCTGAAATTCCAAATATGAAATGAAAAACAAAAAACGTATTCTTTGTGTTTTGTTTCTTTTCTTTCGAGAATTCTAAATGCATTATGCATAGTCGATAAATTGGAATCGTGTGTGCGTGCCTGTGTGGTCTGGGGCAGTTTGAGAAATATGGAAAGATGAATCCGGGTAAATTTTCTGGTTTTATGATTTTGATTTTATATGTTGGTAAAAATTTATGACTTTTGTATTTATAATTAAAGCCTAAATTGGACGGTTTTTCCCTTGATGCGAGTTTGATTGAGGATGTTATATTGAGTTGCCGATGTGTAACCTACTTTTGATCAAAATTGGACGATTATACCCCTGGAGATGGTGTTTGCAATTTCAAGTTGATTTGGGTGTTGCTTGTAATCTTGTTGATCTCTTATGCTATGATGTGTGATGATAACTAGATAAAGTTTTTTTTTTGCAAGGTCTTACATGTGCAGATTTTCAAATTGGAGTTATTTTTTTGGCTGACGTTGATAATGCTAAATCACTGGTGATGAAGCTTTGTAATATTTACAATTGATTTCTTGATTGTGTTCATCTATTTTTCTTTCTTGTATTTTTTCCGGTTTTGCTAGCTATCTTTTTGTACAGGTTATTGCTATTAAAAAAGTTATTTTTTAAAATTGTTCTTCAGTGATGGTCCACTTTGCTTGGTTTTTAGTATTTCTTTGTTGATAGGATTAGAATAACTTTAGAAATTAGCCTCTGAGTGTTAGTTTGAATCTTGATATGGAATTGAAGAACAAAAGGATTTGGGCTACTTCCTTTAGTTTTTATTGGTTATTTGTTAATATGATTTGTGTAATCGGTTGCTAATAGGACTAGGACCATTTTATATGGTTTTTTATTTTTTAAGTCATCTTTATTACTTATCATCCAATTTAATTCTATCTAGTCTTTATTTTAAAGGTTATTTTGTTTTGAAAATTCATCTTTAGCATTAACTTGAAAGAGAAACTCACTGCTTTGCGTTTGTATTAACTTATAAGATATGTTTGTTAGTTTTGAAGACATTAAACATGTCTCCAAATAAAAATTGTATTATTATTTTTGTTCGATAGCATTGTAGCTGTCAAAATGTTTATTATACGCTTTTCAATAATCTACAAAATAGAAAAAAAATCAAAGGACAAGTTAAATCAACAACAAAGTTTTAATTTTACTTAAATGGTTGCACCGTCTTCTGCACCATCATACACCTGCTTTCAACGAAAAACAAACCCATTGAAAAGAGCCATCACCATCATACACCGTCTTTTCCAATGCATGGATTCTTTCATTGCCAAAAATATATCCAAATCTTCGCCTTCAAGATCGTCCGCTTTTATTTTCAAAATCTCCATATCGGTTTTTCTTTGAAGCGTCGTCTGCGCCTCTTGGAATGACGTTTGCTCGTCTATCATTCTTTGCTCCACCCGACTTAACATCTCTGCCTTGCTTTCTTGAATGTGGACATATCGATCAAATTTCTCTCCAAAATGATCGATAATTGTTGTAAAATACGACGGATCCAAATTGACTTAAATAATATTAGCTCAATGCGGAATGGGATCAAAAATTATCAAAGCGTAATAATCACAACGTAATACGAATAAAATAAATAGAATAGAGACACAGGAATTTACGTGGAAACCCAAATCGGGAAAAAACCACGGGCGGAGGAAGCCGAGAAACAATTCACTATAATTTGCAGTGTTTACAGGGATTATGAAAGAGATTACAAAATAGAGTGGGAGAGCTAAAATACACGGTGGTGTATCAGTATATATATGTAATACTTTTCTATATATACTTGGATAATTTTTGGTTGTTATGAAACTTCTCTGGCTCAGGCTATTTATAGCCAAAGAGAATACCAATTGCAAAATAAAATGCCGTCCAAATTGTAGGCGTCCAATTGTAGGCGCCTATTAATTATATCTGCGTCTTCAAATTATTCAATTTCACATATACTATTCATAGTCAAATTTTGAATGCGCCTAACAAAAGAGTTCACCGTCCATTCTTTCATTCACATATATATTACTATTCATAGTCAAACTATGAATAGTAAATGATAAGTTACTGAAATAACCCCTGAACTATTTGTCACTTGCTAATTTTGGAGGCAACTTTTCCACAATCTCCACCTTGACATCAAAATTAAGCAAGTCATGCTTTACGATTAGTCAAAACCTATAGCTCATCAAACTCTAAAACTTCCATAAGAACCTGCAAATTTTATATAGAGAAAAAATTGTTTCCGAAAAATAAATAATACTTTCTCCACCACGAGCCTTCAGGCTCAACTGCGATCAAAAATACCCACCATGTCCAAACATAATTTGAACTTGGCTATAGGAAGACTTTTAGTGAACATATCAGCGGGATTATAATCTGTATGAATCTTGTCCACAACACAATCACCTTTTTCAATGATATCCCGCACAAAATGATAACGAATATCAATATGCTTTGTTCGGTCATGAAACATTTGATCTTTACTCAAGAAGATAGCACTCTGGTTGTCACAGAAAACTGTGGTCACCTTTATTCTATCATCGAGTTCTCCAAATAACCCCTTCAACCAGATATCTTCCTTAACTGCTTCTGTAATCGCCATGTACTCTGCCTCTGTAGAAGACAGGGCAACTGTAGACTGTAACTGGGCTTTCCAGCTAACAGCACAACCGTTTAGAGTAAACACATACCCTGTAATTGATCTTCGTTTATCCAAATCTTTGCCATAATCTGAATCAACATATCCGAACACCCCAGTGTTAGATTTACCAAAACGTAAACACATAGAAGACGTACCGCGTAAATAACGAAAAATCCACTGTACTGCTTTCCAGTGTTCTTTCCCCGGGTTCGCCATGTATCTACTAACCATGCTAACATCATAAGCCAAATCAGGGCGCGTGCAGATCATAGCATACATCAAAGATCCAACAGCACTAGAGTATGGAACACGTGCCATGTAAGCCATATCAGTCTCATTAGTAGGACTCAAAGCGGATGATAGCTTGAAATGAGTTGCAAAAGGTGTGTTGACAGACTTTGCTTCGTGCATACTGAAGCGTCTTAGGACTTTCTCAATATAACTTTTCTGAGAAAGATGCAAGATCCTAGACTTCCTGTCACGAATAATTTCCATACCTAAAATCTTTTTGGCAGCTCCTAAGTCCTTCATTTCAAATTCAGCTTTCAACTGGTCTTTTAACTTCTAAATCTCCTTCATATCTTTTGCTGCAATCAACATGTCATCCACGTACAAGAGTAAGTAGATCTTTGAACCATTGTCACCTTTCTTGAAATAAACGCAGCTATCATAGGTGCACCTGCTGAATTTGTGACTGGTCATGAAAGAATCGAACCTCTTGTACCATTGTCTAGGAGACTGCTTGAGGCCATAAAGAGATTTGTTCAATTTGCATACGTAGTTCTCCTTTCCAGGAACTGCAAAACCTTCAGGTTGTTGCATAAAAATCTCTTCCTCAAGCTCACCATTTAGGAAAGCTGTAGTGACATCAAGTTGTTCTAACTCAAAATCGTTAGAAGCAACCAACCCCAACAACACACGAATGGAAGTATGTTTGACAACTGGGGAATAAATGTCAGTGTAATCAATACCAGGAATCTGACTGTAGCCTTTAGCTACTAACCGAGCTTTGTATCTTGGTTTATCATTTGGGTTGACAGGTTCCTTGAGCTTGTAGACCCACTTGCATTTAACTGGTCTCTTCCCTTTCAGAATAGGAACTAAATTCTAAGTACTGTTTCGCTGCAAGGATTCCATCTCATTTTGCATAGCGAGCATCCAATCATTTGAGTCTTCAGATTTGATAGCCTCGTCATAATTTGCAGGCTCCGTTGCAGACTCAATATTATCAGCAACAATAAAAGCATAGGCAACCAAATCAGATTCAGCATACCTCTTCGGAGGAATAATCTGTCTTCTCGGTCTATCTCTTGCAATGCTTGGAGTAGTAGCTTGTGGTTGTGAAGGTGTTGAATCTTCACCAACAACATGCTCATCCGACGAAGAAGAATCTTGATGCTGATTTGTACTCTGATTAGTGGTAGGTGAAGTAGGAAGCTCCACCTCCATTTGAGCATTCTCTTTATTTGCTTCGGATGATACATCTGATGCATCTGTTCTTTTAGAAGAGTCAGCAACTGGTTGAAATATAGCAGACTCATCAAAAGTAACATCTCTTGAGATGATAATTTTCTTCAAATCAAAGCTCCATAACTTGTAACCCTTTACACCTTGATTGTACCCAAGAAAAACGCATTTGATTGCTCTTGGTTCTAGCTTCCCATTGTCAACCCGTGCATATGCTGGACATCCGAATGGTTTTAAATCTGAATAATTTGCAGGTTTACCGGACCATAATTCAAACGGAGTTTTCTTCTCGATTGCTCGTGACGGTGATCGGTTGATAACATAGCAAGCAGTCGAAGCAGCCTCCGCCCAAAAAGACTTTGGCAATTTGGAATTAGAAAGCATACACCGGACCTTCTCCATAATGGTGCGATTCATCCTTTCAGCTACACCATTTTGTTGAGGTGAATGGACTACTGTGCGATGTCGAGTAATGCCTTCCTTTTGACAATAGACATTAAACTCTTCTGAGCAAAACTCAAGTCCATTATCCGTACGAAGATACTTTAACACCAGACCTGATTGCTTTTCAACCTGAACTTTCCAATTTCTGAAGGTAGAGAAAACGTCTCCTTTATGTTTTAAGAAGAAAGACCACACCTTCCTGGAGAAATCATCAATAATAGTGAGCATATAAATAGCTCCACCTTTTGAAGCAACTCGAGCCGGTCCCCACAAATCCGAGTGAAATAATCAAGTGGTCCTTTCGTTGTATGGATACCACTTGCAAACCTTACTCGTTTTGCCTTGCCATATACACAGTCTTCACAGAAATCCAAATCAACAATCTTTTGTTGACCAAGTAAACCTCTTCGACTCAATTCTGACATGCCTTGAAAACTCATATGGCCGAGTCGAAGGTGCCAAAGACGGGACTGATCTGGATCAGAAAAAGACTTTGACACAATAGCAGCATCACTCGAAATTGTTTGCCCGTCTAGAAAGTAAAGATCTGAGGTTTTTCGTTCGGCTCTCAGTTTGTCGGAACCGTCTTTGAATACCCTGAGAACTCCACCTTTACCAGCAAACTCGTATCCCTTTTTGTCAAAGGAACTGAGAGATAACAAGTTTCTTCTGAGGTCAGGAACATATCTAACATCCCCCATGGTTCGAATAACTCCGTCAAACATACGGATCCTGACTGAACCATGTCCAAGAACTGGACATGTAGTATTGTTACCCATCAACACATAGCCCTGGTTAACCTTTTCAAATGTGTAAAACCAACTTTTGTTGTGACACATATGAAAAGTACAACCAGAGTCGAGTATCCAATCACCAGTGGAATCCAGTTTATCTGAATAAACTGTCAAAAGTTCTCCAATACCTTCGACCTCAGCTAGATCGACTTCACCCGAAGTGCTAGCTTGTTTACCATTTGCTGCCGTCTTCTCTTTTTCTTTGTTCTTCAACTTGAAGCATTCTTCAAGCACATGTCCCTTCTTG